GGGGGGGGGGGGGGGGGAATGGGTGAGCGATAGTCTATCTCCAGGCTTTCCGCGGATCTGATTCTAGCCTTTGAATGAGCATTGATGTGTGATATTCGGAGTTCAATTGGATGTGTGCCTGCGCGTTCGTCGCGGTGTCGCCGTCGTGGCCCCGAGTACGCCGGGTCGCTTCGCCGGACTCGTGCCACTCGCAATGGGAATTTCCCACTGCGAATGCTGGTCAGGAAGTGCTGAATTGCGTTAGCGTCTCGAATCCATGTAGATCTTGGTTCGCACGTAATGCAACGTAGCCGCCTGCGACTTCTTGAGTCGTGGCTCCTCACATCTCCGCCGGTCTTTGCATGCTCATTTGGCCTCCGCGCGCACTTATTGTTGCGACGGATGAGGCGTACTGGCTTGGCATCTTCATCATGGGGCCATGTTGGCTCTCGATCATCTGGCGAGCGACGAGTATAGGTTGTCCGCTGCACCTCGATGCTGCGAAATTGCCGCACGAGGACGGAGCTAAGAGTTAGGAGTTGCTCGACCGAATGTATCTTTAGCAAGTGTAGCGATTATCTGTCGTGCCTTGCAGTCTTCAAACCCTTTCCGTAGTGCAGCCAAAGAATGAAATCACGAGCGAAACCAAAAGGGAGACATACCCACAGTGAGCGCCTTGTTCAACTATGATGGACTTGCCTAAAACGGAAGAGCCATCCGAATATGTCGATTGATGTGGCGGCCCTTTGCGCTTTTGCATCTTCTTGTTCGACTTCATCCTACCAATGCATGTGCTACCCGGAATGAGCATCGCACGACATGAGGCATCGGCACTTATCTATTGTCGTTTTAGGGGGTGTGGCTAGGGTCGCCTTGATACGCTTTGGTAGAAAGTAAGTCGTCTTACACTTTGATAGCAAGGGAAGTGCTTTGTGATGGCTCTATCTTTGAAGCGTGGAACCCGCCTCAGTGAACGCTCTGGTTATCGTGGCTAGTTCTGCACGCCACGAGCTTGCTCAGGACTTAGCGTTGATCATCAGTGTATCAGGAGCCTGTTCCTCGTTCTGTAAAGGATTATGCTGTGGAACCTACATGGGTGCGTGGCGTCTCGAGATTGATCATTGACCTTCGAGTGGATTGCTTTGGCGCTCACTTGCGGCGGTCCCTGGCGTTGTGGCGTTGGCCACCGTCTAAGGCGGGATAGAGCAAAGGCCCTCGCCCACATCCTGCATGACCTCCGCAGCTTTGGAAACGGTATAAAATCTCAAGTTCTATCAATCTTCTCCGCTATCTTCCTCTTTAAGCCATCAGCACCAGCAAAATATTGTCAATACTTAGATCCTTTCCGTTAAATTGGCACAACTTCTCTGCTTTGCGCGAGTCCCTCAGACCTTTTTTTTTGCACCGATGGTTCGCTCCACAGAGACTCCGCAACCTAGGGTGTATTTGGCCTTCATCCAACGATTCTGGAACTCACCAGGCGAAAATTCGCTCAAGACGACGCTCATTGTCGCGCCAAGGAACCCAAGGCCGGGGCGGGACATCTGTCGGTACTTCACCGCGGACGAAGATGTCATGCCCGGAGAGACCCACGTACAAGAATACGACTACCAAGATATCCGTGTGTTCCCCAGGGAGCTCAAGGCGTGTGTCCTTTTGGGAGAGCTATACCCCAGGATTGCGTTTGAGCAGCTCACCGGGCTATGCAGGCGAGTGTCTCTCGCGGGACATGACCGCAAGCGGCAATCCGAGGACTGGGCGGTGGATGTGGTCGAGGTGCGTCGCACAGCGGCCGATCGATATTTTGAGTGACGCTTGACATTCTTCTCTGCAGGCGTTTGTTGATGCAAATCTCCTCCCGCCGCCCGTACTGGATGTTCGGAACATATGGCGTGCGGGATGGCGCTTTGCCTACACCGCTGGGGCATTCGATATATCGCCTTTGGTGCCTGTCTGCGACATTTACGGCCGCATATTTCCTTCCGAGTTGAGATGGCCTGATGAAGAGCCGAGAAGAACTTGTGAAGAGTTTGGGCCAGAACCGTCCTTAGATTTGTAGCTGATTTTGAATGTCGATACACTTGGATTAGAACCCAACCTTGACTGTTTTGCGAGAGCAATATATTCACCATTTTCAGAGACATCTGTGCTCTGTGTGCCACAGGGCAATAGATGAGCAATGCAACGCTTATTTCCAACACAGCTACGGCTCAGAAGAGCTGTACCCGTTTGCGCTTTGGTAAAGTGCAGTAAAACAAACGGATAATTGTATTCGACTAGTCCTGACAGGTACTTGCGGGAAAAATCGACCCACTTGCGGGCTGTGGCGGTATGACTTACTTTGAGAGCCGACGGATCTATAATATGTCCAGTGGCGGTGGGCCCAAGCCTTGTACTTCCTGCGTGGACCCACCCGCATAGGGTTTCCAGCCACACCACACTCATCGTCCACACTCTACAAAGCGCCCCGACTCACCTTCCGCTATAAATACCACGCCAGAAGCTACTTCCTCTCAATACTCCTCCGCTCCCCACCTCTCAAATTGTCCGTCGCCATCTCATAATTGTCTCTCAGGCAATTCTATCACTTGGTTCCCTTCACGCGACTTCCTGCACTTCACATGGCTCCCAACGAAAGCGAAGTCCGGCTGTATCTCGGCTTCATCGCGCGGCACCAGCAGGACGCGGAAGTCAGCTACAAAGTCTCTCTCTTTACGGCGCAGAAAAACCTACAGACCGGAAAGGAGGCACTCACGAGATTTTTTGCGTATAACAAGCTCATGCCCCTCGAGCTCGAGGTAAACTCGTACCGATACGAGAATGTGGAGCACCCGGCGATGGTGTTCACGTCGTGCGTCGCCTTGGGCAACCTTCCACCGGAAACCACCGTCAAGCATCTCGATGCCTTGTTCCAGCAAGTGTTCCTCTCCAAAGAGGGCCACAAGAACAAGTGGCAAACCGAGGACTGGGCGCATAGCGCGATCCAGGTGTGTTGCTCCGCATATGTCTAAACGCTTACCTGCGGCTGACAAGCGATGTCTTCTGCAGATGCTCACCAAGGAGGGACTCCTGGAAGAACTTCAGGCGGACTTCTGGCTGGTGTGGGGGCGCGGCTACACCTTTGCCAACGCTACTAAATTCGGTTATCCGGCTGTTCCTGTCTGCAACGTCTCGGGCCAACCACTTGCGTCTGAGTGGCCATTACCTGGCAAATCTACGTTGTAAATGAAACGCGGGAACGTCCTAATAATGAGAGGTCTTCGCTTGTAGTACTACTTTTTAATCCCTTATTATCTGCGCTGTGTCCTGTAGTCTCTGTATTATTTGAAGAGATTGGTGCACACTCAGCTCTGGCTTTGAAGCGTACCCGTAGGCAGATCGATCAACGGCATTCACCGATATCCAGGCTCCGCGACGCCCTCGCAGAGCAATTCAGCTCATCCTTTCAATGACTTCAAAAATAAGTAATCCAACAATTGCAAGGTGAGGTGGACTCACCATCGTTCCAAACTGGCTGAGTGACCTGGATAAAAAGAGCTTGACGGAGCATCCTGGCAATAAGAGACTAGACATGGAATATCACCTTAGTGTTGTGCGGATTGCCAGATTTTCTAAGAACTGAGTTTGAGTGCTGAGGGTATATAGGAAGCTAGGTACAAGTTCGCTGGAGGAGTAAAACGAGCCCGCTTATGATGCCCAAAGAATACCATCTGAATTGGTATAATAATCCTCCAATGGGGTGTATGTGAACTCGACAGAATTTTGACGTGTATATGGACAGAAGCGAACTGAATGCAGGGGGGGACACAAGCTCAGATTAGTTGCTTACAGATGGAAGCAAGTTGATGAGATGAACTTGGACAAATGATAGGTCTACCTACGCATGATATGCTATGCAGATGTCGAAATCATCTGCAAGTTCAAAGAACAGATTGTCAATTTGGAACGTCCAAAGCATCAGCCCAGAGCTGTAACAGGAAGGAGCACACACATAAACGTGTCTTGAGCTGTTAAACTCACATTGAGGAAAGACGACCCAAGGATGAGACTTGGTGCAATATTTGCAATAGTAGATGTCAGATAAATATATGTTCTGCGTGCAAGATAACAGCGAAAGCCGATACAGATGATGTAGGTCAGTCTACGATACCAATACTGGAGAGATAGCAGTCGCATGTTCTAGTGGAGCCGAGTTACTGGGTAGTATGGGAGACGAGACCCTAGAGTGTGAGCGCGACCACACTTTCCGTTGATAGTCAAGGATGATAGGAACCAGATCCCAGAGGCCAAAGTCGGGCCAATATGTCGAAGTAAACTGTAACTGAGTGTCTTCACTACACTATGCAGCACAAAACAATCAGAATGTGAGTCTATTGAACGGTGACATAGAAAGTGCCAGACAAACCTGCCAGAGGAGATAGTCACTTAACCTACAGACCCCACTCGTGCGAACAAGGACATCGAGCGGGGGGCTCCCAACCTTTGTGGTCATGAGATGCGCGTAGATTGTATCTTCAGTGATATTACTATAAAATTAGTGGGACAAACAAATGGACGCAAGTGGTTAATACGACACCAATGATGGAAGCAAAGCGCGAATACCGTAGCGAGATGCGGAATACTTACTAGTGAATTGGATCTTCCGACTCTAGAGCTTCTTCCACAGCTGATTCTACAGCCGTAGCAATTTCGTCGCGGGAGGCATATGGCATACAAAAATTAAGGATTGCTCTTCAAGATCAGACGGAGAATATTAGCGATACGCAGCCCATGCGTTGGTTGCAGTGGTTGCCTCCAAGGCGATAGCAATCAAAGTGTACCCACCTAGTGTTATTCCGCGATATGTGTTCTGCCTTCTCCGCGACCGCCAGAACGCGTGGAGGTAAAAGACTCCTCTTGCCGACGATGTTCAAGCGTACGCCGTACTGATCGAGAAGGTCGCTGTCCAACGGAAGAGGGAAGCTATGGTATGGCCACAATAAGAGGTACGCACTCACCCGTAGCGACACAGCTCGGTAAACTTGTCTTCCGCCAGGTCCATGAGCGCTTCTACCTCCTCCGGGCTGCGCTTGAAATTCTCAATAGCGAATGCGTATACACTGACGCAACGGATGTCAAGTCGCATGCAGATATCGAGCACCTGGGGATGTAATTGAGATGAGTGGCTTCGTATACGAGATCGTATGTGTACCCTGCGGAGGGCGAGAAATCCTTCAGCGTGGCCTTCCTGGACACGTCTTTGGTGGGAGCGGGCGTAGCGGCGGTTACCATCCATGATGAATGCTACGTGGCGCGGGACCGGCCCAGCAGCGAGCACAGCGAGGAAAGCATTCCGGACCTTGTGGGTAGCCCAGGAAACACAGCGAGAGAAGAGATTTGTGAACATAGTCGACGAGACTAGCCGCTGCAGGCTTGCAACCATGCTTGCTGCAGCCGTAACCCTAACCCATTTTGTTGGTCTGGATTCGGCGAGTCTCCCCCCTGCCTTGGTCATGACCACGTCTCTTGAAAGATGAGTAGTCGCGTATACGTATGATTAATTCACTCAAATTGCGTAACGCTCAGGTAGATTATTTCTCGGACTAATCAGAGTCGTCCCCATGTCCTAACATCTAACGATGCCTTCTGTAGATAACTTCGAATTCCACACGAAGCCTGAGCAGACGACTGAGGTCCCGTTTGGTTGTTCTCCCCAGTTTCCGCTCAAACAAACTTCATCAGGGCTGTGAAGGTAGACGAGCACGATCCATTTTACATATTCTTTTGGGCATCCGCTGTGAGCGTGCTGGCTATCAGTGGTCTGTCCAACTTACTTGGCGCGACGGTCAGCATATTCGCATACGGATGCTCTGACACTGTTTGCAATGAACCCGGTGTGTTACAAACAATCCGTCCAGAGAAGATATGCCGAAATTGAGTATCAAGCCGTCGTCAATGCGACCTTGGTGCTGGAAGATGACGTAGAACTCGAAGATAACATTCCTGACGCAGTTATGGACGTGTGATCCCAATCGATAGGTCCAGGATCATCCAGTCTGAGATTCCGTAGTATCTGAAGCTAAGCCGGTTGGTCGTTGAGCCGCTGTGTTATAGTCTGTCCTCAGCGACTCAAACCAAGCTCTTGCCATAAGCATTTGTGGTCGCATTACTGCTCAGAGCTTCGTCCACGGTCATTGGACATGTCGCAATGTGAATAAATCAGATCATGAAAGTTCTAGCATGAACACGTCGAGTTATGGTCTCTCTGAAGTGGGAGATTTTTCTGTCGTGTAAGTACTGAACTTGCGCAACGAGGCTTCAAGTTATAATGAAAATTTGTCTACTTCGACTTTCCAATGGCCTCTCCTCGATCAGCATGCTTTGGTCTGTCCATACCCTCTCGACAACCAGCCATTTTGTCACTCTCGTTGAAAGAATGGTAAATAAACGATCGATACGATTAGCGTAGGCCACGCTGCGGATCAAGTTCTACAGAACATGGTAAGCGCTAGCGCAGGCCTTATTTTCACTCGTCGTCCATGGCTAAAGCAAAGGTGCGCATATCCAAGTTGCTGGTGCATTGTTGATTTTTTATTCCATTTCCGACCAGCCGTCGCATTCGTCGTCTGTATCCATGGGTCTCTTCGACCTCAATCAAGACGTGCTCTTCGACATCATTTCTCATCTGCCCACCCGCGATGCACTCGCGTTCTCGCTCACGGCCCGTAGGCTTTGTGATATCAGCAGACAGCACGCACTTTCCGATGTTTCCATCCGCGGCTCACAAAGGCTAGCCAAGTTTCGCGCGTTCATCTTGGCGGGGCACGACGCCAGACTGCAATGGCTACGCAAGCTCTCAGTGAGTTGTTCGTACGCTACCGATGACATTCACCAATCGGCCCAAAATATCGCATTTATCCTTGCACAAGCTACTTCCTTAGTCGATCTCTCTGTCGATCCGCTTGAGTTGCTACTCCAGTACGAATTTCGCGTTGGCACAGCACTGGCAGCCCTGTCTGGCCTGCGCCGGTTGCAGCTGTTCTCTCTGGGAGATATGTCATTTCAGATGCTCCAGAAACTTCAAAGCGATCCTATATCTCTAAGTTTCTCAACCCGGTCGACGATGGTCACCTGTGCAGACTTGCTCAGTCAACTCAAGGCCTTCCAGCGTGTTGAGTGCCTTGAGCTAGAGCTGCTTAGCCGGGTACCTAGTCGCCTTCATGCACACAACGCGCCGCTTGAATGGCCATCCGTACGTCAATTGTTCGTGTCGCCCTGCGAAGCGTCGATTGAGTTTCTTGCCGCCGCATTCCCGAACGTGCGCGCGCTTCATCTACGCGACCTTTTCATCCAGAATATCAAGAATAACCAGTCAACGGCGGGGTGGCAGAATCTCGATTATCTGGAAGTGCACGCCTTGTTATTTCAACACTGGCGTATCAGCTTCCCGATTCACTACGTCTCTATCCACTCGGTCCTCGCTATTCCTTTAGAGCTCTCGTTGGCCGGGCCAGGACGCTATTCTGATGCAGACTTGGCAAACACGCTGGATGTGGCGCATAACGCGTCGCCGCGCGTGATCGCTCTGAGCATCATGGCATATCAGAAGCTGGTGAACACATTTTGGACTAGTCTTGTAAAGTCAGCACCCCGTCTGCGCTGTATCGAGGTGGAATTGTGCGAATGTCACGCCAAGAAAGATTTTGGGTCCCAGCTTCGGACGTTGATCGTATGTGCTATAATTTGGATACGATCCGCTCACTTACAGGTCAGCATAGGAAACACTTGCGCCGGTATTTGCCTCGCTGAGGAACCTGACGCATATCCAAATCTGTGTCAACTCTGGTTTCCAGGAGTTTATGTCTATTGGCGGGGCGCGCGAATTACGTTTGGCACTTGCGCCGAGTCCTGGCATTGCGAGGGATTTGGCGAATATCTTGATAGCACAGATTCCAACGCTGCGTCTCGTGTCTGTCGGATTTGGAGTCAGAGAGCGACGCCAGAATTGGGATGCACTGCCATTCGATGGGGACTTTTGGTGGTGGAAGGTGGTGTCAGAAGGAGATCAGCGAGCTGCACAGGAGGTTGACACGTCGCTTGGAGAGCTATTCCGGGCGCAATATTGCTCGACTCAGTATGACCCGACATCCGAAGGCGAGTGTATGCATCGTTCGGGAGTGCCATATTGACGTTACTCTTTCCTCAGCCGTTGGTTGAGGCCCTGGCTACACCTGTGAATGAACAATATCGCTGAAAGTCGACCACATTCTGCGAGACATTGCTCCTGTTACCTTTCATCTTACCCACAACTCCTGGTTCCTATGTCCGGAGTGCTATACAGAAGCAGATACTGGGGAAATTTGCATAATTAAATCTGCATGATTTTTTACGTCGTTGGCATACCGTGTGCAAATACTAGGATGATGATGACATTCACAGACGTTGTATATGTTGGTGGGAAGTGCAATGGGTGTCTTGAATGTCATTGTGTTATGTTCCAGCAAATTTCTAGGTGACAACCTCTGTGCATGCATCGAAGTAGTAACATCTAATCAGGTACAGTAATGGTATTAACAGCTCAATCATGAGTCCATCAGTGGCTATTCAGTGTGTTATTCATTCTTTCAAGTTGTCCCACTCGGTAGCATTTACAGCTCAAGCACTTTAGCGACATTTTCGTGGCGGGGGACAAGCTTAATGCGGAAGGGCACAGGCGACCGGCCAGAAAGCCCGTCATACTCCTTCAG